GACTGTTCAGATAAATACAACGTGAATCGCGGCAGTCGTTCAGAATTGCACACTGCGAGAAATATGTGATAAGTTAAATAACAATTAAGCGTTCCCCTGAAATATGACCAAAAGCGTATGAAAAATTTCAAGCCCCTTGGTTTATAATTACCTAATAATTTGTTATTTTAAAAATCGTCTAAAAATGACGTCTTCAAGTGGGGAACATATAAATGCACTCTTCTAAATATCGTTGTATAAAAAATTTCGAGTCTCTTGGTTTATAATTATCTGTCCTAGAAATCGTCTAAAAATTTCGAGTCTCCTGATTTATAATTATCTAATAATTAGTTATCCCAAAAATCGTCCAAAAATGACGTCTTCAAATGGGGAATACCCTCTTCAAAGCATCTTTGTACGAAAAATTTCGAGTCCCCTGATTTATAATTACCTAATAATTAGTTATCCCAAAAATCGTCCAAAAATGACGTCTTCATATGGGGAATACCTTTTTCAAAGCATCTTTGTACAAAAAATTCCGAGTCTCTTGGTTTATAATTACCTAATAATTTTCTATCCTAAAAATCGTCTTCAAATGGAGAATACCCTCTTCAAAAGATTGTTGTATGAAAAATTTCGAGTCTCTTGGTTTATAATTACCTAATAATTTTCTATCCTAAAGATCGTCTAAAAATGACGTGTTCAAATGGGGAATGCCTCGTTTAAAGCATCTTTATATGAAAAATTTTAAGTCTCTTGGTCTGTAATTATCTAATAATTCGTCACCCCAAAAATGTCATCAGCAAACGGGGAACACACCCCGTTCAAAGCATCGCTCTTAACGTATCGAAGCACTCTACCCCATTTTCCATTACACCAATCCTTGGCCGGAAGCATGGAAAAAAAGAGTTCTTGTAGTTCACAATATGAAAACCATTTGATACGAACAATCAACCTGTGCACACTGTTATCGATTCTGTCCGACTAACTTACTCTCTCTCTTTTTCCACACTGAACAAAGATAATCGGCGTTCCACCGAACCTGTACTTCCTCAAAGATTTCATCCCTTAAAGATTACTCCGATATTAGGTAATGAAGGAGCTTCATTTTGTATTCTCTCCTTCTTTCAGTCATTATCGATTTTATCCCCCGTTCTCTCATCCTTTCCCTATCCCGATCGCTTTATTTTTAGACATTCTTCCCGAATTACATTATCGAACCGGCTGTTTTCATATTCACGAGATCGTTTTAAAGGATCGTGTCGAAACGATTGCAAGCAGTCGACGTTACGCTCCGAACAATAAACAGGTATTCCGGGCTATAAAGAGTTTTTAAGTCGGCCACCACTTTTGAAATGTCGAGCAAAACATCTGATCCGGTTGTTTCTCAAACGGTTGAGAAAAGATGACGATCTTCCCTTGCCGCAGTGAAAGCGAATTCCAACGCGTTAAAGTCCAAGGGTTGATTTGATATTTATAAAATTCGATGCTCTTTCTTCGTTCTCGAGATAAAACGGCGACTGCTTTTATACGAAAAATGTCACAAGGTGAATCTAGCTCTCTTCTGTGTTCTCGAACGACAGAGACATTGTTGCGTGGTATGTACCGCTTTTATTGTACCGTGTATTCGAGCATTTAAAGAGAGATTAACGATATGATAAACAGCATCGAAATACGAGGAACAGCAGGACGTTTATTTGAGGGAAAAAAAAAAAACGTTAAATGTGAAATGATATTGCTAAATGTGACTTTTCGCAATTTTTGTTATTGAAATATCGGGAAATTGAGAAGCAAAAGGATGAAATGCCGAAGTTATTAATATCTTATCAATGATAATTAATATGAAATGAATAATTTATGAAAAATTTCAAGTCGAACAATAATAATAATTCTTGGAACGTCGATAAATTAAATTCGTAGATTTTTCCGGATAATTTTTTTATACCAAACTAAAGAAGCAGAATAATTATAAATGGTAATCAATATCGAACCAATGAATTTACGAAAAAATTCAAATTTCAAATTCAACATTTCTGTTCTGTTAAAATTAATAACAGTAAATTCTATAAATCGGTAATTTTTGGAATGTCAGTAAATTAAATTCGTAGATTTTTCAGAAGAAATTTTTTTTTACAGCAAACTAGAGAAGCAGAATAACGAAATACTATAGTTATTAATATCTAACCAATGATAATTAATATGAAATGAATAAATTTAAGAAAAAAAGTTTGAAATTTCAAGTGAAACATTTCCGTTGCATTAAGGTTAATAAATATCTTTTGTTTCCACGTGGAACTTGGCGAAGCATCGCTCACAAAAGAGAGGTAAAGGAAAAGGTTTCAACTTTATAGTTGATAGCGTACGTATCGAATTTCCATTTTCACGATTGAAACACTGGAACGTAAGAGCTGGGATAAAGGTTCGGCAGGAAAAGAAAATTTCCCATTCCCCGCGCAGTTTCTTCCTTTCTTTCCCCGTACTATTCCTTGTAAACAGGCTCGCGTGTGCGTCGCAGCCAGAATGGAACATTAATAATTCAATTCCGCGTTGCCCGAGGCAAATGGAAACTCAACATGGTGCACAGTAACTGAACCACTTTCGATTATCTTTAAATCGACACAGGATTTACTCTCTATGCATCACAGAGGGAAAAGGAAAGAAACGTGAGCAAATCTTCCATGTCCTTCGAATAGAATTATAATGAACGAAAATAAAATTAAAGTGATCGGTTAAATTGTAAATTTGGATTATTCAAGGGCATCATAGAGGGAAAGGAGAAAAACACGATGTCTTTCGAATAGAATTGTAGTGAAAAAATAAAGTTAAAATGATCGGTTAAATTGTGAATTTGGATTATTTACAAAGTGAAATTGAAATGATCGGTTAAATTGTAAATTTGGATTATTCAAGAGCATCATAGAGGGAAAGAAGAGAAACATGATGTCTTTCGAATAGAATTGTAGTGAAAAAATAAAGTTAAAATGATCGGTTAAATTGTAAATTTGGATTATTTACAAAGTAAAATTGAAATGATCGGTTAAATTGTAAATTTGGATTATTCAAGAGCATCATAGAGGGAAAGGAGAGAAACATGATGTCTTTCGAATAGAATTGTAGTGAAAAAATAAAGTTAAAATGATCGGTTAAATTGTAAATTTTGATTATTTACAAAATTAAATTAAAATGATCGGTTAAATGGTACACTTGGATCATTCAAAAGCAGCTCGAATAAATTAGTTATATTCTTCTGGGTTTAACAATATTGTAAATAAGGAGTAAGATTGATTGTGACTTTTGATAAATGGGCAGAATGCAAATGGAAATAAATTGGATGGAAACTACTGTTAAATTTAAGAGTTTCTCCGGTGGTTTTACCTTCGGTGAAGGAAAATGCGTACCACTGTGGAATATTTACCAAACGTTGATTAATTTTCAACAGATTCAGGAGAATTTCGCGAATGAAAGCTTTCCTTATTCGTAAAATATCTTTCCTAAAGGGACACATATACAGGGTTTTCACGATTTTTCAGCCATTTATGACAGCGTAGGTAATGAAAGAAGTTATAAAGTTATCGTTGATTGTTTTCAATTGGTTAAGTTTTTAAACGAAGGTAAAGTGAATATTTCGGTAAATGACTGATACGTATCAGTTTTATAGAGTACACATGGTGTTCACTGCAACGGTCTGCACGATTTTTCAGTCGTTTATAACAACGCAACAAAAAAAAGTTATCGATAAATATGTATCCGTGTTGAATGGACGATAGAACGATAACAAATATTTCAAAAATACTTGTTTTTCATAGTGAAGAAAAAGTTTCATTTTCACTTTCAGTTTTTCAAATGGAACTATATCTAAACTTTTTTTTCGCTACATTGTAGAGGATATTAGGACGAATTCGGCTAGTAACAAAATGTGACGCTTTTATTTATACAATACTGAATTTATAACAGTTGGATTAGCAGAAATTGTGTTAAAAAAAAAAAAAAAAATTGTACGAATAAAAGTGTCATATTTTGTACCGGTTGAATTTTGGTCTTGAGGGGTAAATTGTCTTGTCTTGTCTATTTCATTGTTTTAAAAATAAGACACAATTCAGCTGAAGCGAAACTTTCAACTGGAAATTATCCTAATTCGTTGGAAACGAGTTTCATTTTAAAAATTAAAAATGGTATTACTAATTAACGATTAAATGACCTTTAATGATAGAATGCTGAAATCATCGCAACAGTGGCTATCAACGATAAAAAAATATATAGCAACCCATTTAGAAAAATAAAGATCTTGAAATCTATTCTAAGTAAAAAGTATCTACATCAAATTATCTCCCCCTCTGAATCATGCAAATTTTTCATATAACATTTTTCTGAATTACTATAAATAAAGGAAACATTTCAGGCGGGCAAAAGTTTTGTCTCACCCTATGTATCCTATATGGGTCACAGATGACCCAGCTTCGTCGGCCGACGCGTCGATTAAATCCGCCATCTTGAAAATCATAACCTCTTCGGTGACGCTGACGCATATGCGTACGTTTAGTTTTTCCAAAAATTCCAACATTTCTAACAGAGAAACTACGAAAAACCTAATCTCCCAGCAAGGAGAGCAGTTTAATTGCTGTCGATTTAATTGCATAAAAAATTAGATCGTTTTTTCTAACCTCAAAATAATCGTCCCTTAGGGGTTAAAAGCATCATTTCTTCGTACTTTCTTCATTGCGTAGAAAAGAAACAATAGGTAAAGAACAAAGATCAAACATACCAACCACAACCAATTAACCATAAAACCAGAATCAACGTCCCGCCTCGATGATAATACCAATAAAACAATTAAAAAATGAAAGAAAGAAATCAGGACAAAATATGAGAATCGTGAATACGTGACGGATTTCACGAGGAGTCTCGCATTGAAGAGGCCGTATACACCTCGCCTCCGTAACTTTAAACGATAAAAGAAGCCACCCCCCCTTTCTTCTTCTCTATACTCAAACTACGCCCCCGCTATTGGATTTCCAGGCAGAGGAATATTTTTTAACGAGGCAAAAACTTTTCTCGTCTGGTGCAACGAGGAGGATCACATGCGTCTGATATCGATGGAAAAGGGTGGGAACCTGTCGTCGGTGTACTCGAGGCTGGTTAAAGCGGTTACCGAAGTCGGAAAGAAAGTGCGATTCTCGCGGCACCAACGCCTCGGCTTCCTCACCTTCTGCCCGACCAACCTGGGAACCACCATCAGGGCCTCCGTTCACGCCCGCTTCCCGAAATTGAGCGAGGATTATGCGAGATTCGAAGAAATCGCAGCCATGTACAATCTTCAGGTGAGAAAACGAAATTTCCTTCCCCTCTTCTCCCTCCCTTTTCTCTTCCGCCGTTTGCAGCAGAGCAACCACCCAGAGGCTGGTGTTGTATTCCGCACAAGTGCGTTCGAGCGGCTTCTCTTTATTAGATTTGGTTCTTTAACGACGGAATTTGAAATTCTGGCGTGAAAATTGGCGATACATTTTTCTGGTTTTCTTGAACCCCTTGCCGTATAAAAACGAGTCGCAGATTTTGGTCATGGTCTGATAGAAACAGTTATATCGGTAACGAAAATGAACTTTAATTCCAATTTTTGATTTCATTTATAAAACTGAAGATTGCCAAATTTAATCGATCTATAATACATTAACTCTCCTTACTTAATACAGTAATGAAACAGTAAATAGCTGACGCTTAGATGCATGTTCTGGAAAAGAAATCATACGTCAAGGGGTTAAGGGGGTACACCGCCTTGTTTAAAAATAGGTGAAGTTTGAGAATTTTTTTCATAGAAACTACTGAATGAAAAGTTTCAATTTCCTTTGCAGGATGTAAATGTAACTTTCAGCATTTTTCTCTAATTTTTTGAGACAAAACCGTTACAAAATGGCGGAGTTATTCGCTAATCGCGAAACCTGTTCCGCTATAACATCGATTTGGCTGCCATCGTCGCGTCAGCAACGATTAGAACGTCTGAGATAAAGTTTGAAGGAGAAAACCTGTTTTCACCAATGAAAATCAACTTTGAAAGTTTCTAAAAAATTGAACAATTGACTTTAACTTTTTGCGCTCGTATTTTCCATAGGCACGGTAGACGTACTGGTCGGAATTATTTTTTGGTAGCGCGCGTTCAGTCAATTACTGTCTAAAAAACGTATAAATTTTATTCAGATGAGTTTGTTTAAGCTGTGTGCATGTTATTATCCCCCCCCCCCCTGTTTCTGCAGACAAAAGGTCCACAGAGCGTTTAGAAGGTAAAAACGCCTTGCCGGGAATATCCCGGGGTTCGACCGCAAAGAGTTAATATCTCCCTCACTGCTACACCCGTAGAAAAAATATTTAGATCATCTAACGTCCTCCTATATACTGAACAACTTTTGTAAGAACATTTTTTTCACAACTTCAATTCCTCGCGAGATATTCCACCGTTTCCATTTAAAAAAGACACCCTCTGTATTCCGAGACATTCCGTCGTATCGAGTTAAAAAAGACACCCTGTATATTCTGAGATAATCCACCTGTACACGTCATTCTTTGCGGAAGGGTTAAAAATTTCCTCGCAGTAGTCAGAATTACCAGTCAAGAACGAACAATGAAATTTCTCTCGTTTCCCTCGTTTTTCCTTCGATAAATCGAAATTTAATTATTCAGCGTGAAAAAAAATTCAATTTATCTGTCGCTTAACTTCGGCGAACGTTTAACTCTTGGATCCTAAAAAACGAATAAATAGAAATAAATAAGGGAATAAATTTTCCGCGGGTGATTATTATCGTGAAATGTTATTTATGGTTGATACGCTAATGAAACGAAATGCAACAAGTACGAACGGCGAAATCAATGTTAATCGTTCTTATGAAATATTTATATCCTTCGCGTTATTGACCGAACGCGAGAATGATGCTTATACAAATCCCAAGTGTATACAATATAAACTATAGTTACGGACAGGGACGTGTAAGCAATTAAGCTATGAATATTCTGCTTACGAGGAAAATATTTGAACTAGATCTTCGCTGTTTGCTAGTAAAAATATACAGTTTTATTTCGTCCGAGGGAGTGAAAACCTCTTTTTTTCCCCCCCCCCTCCTCCTATTTTTATTTCCACCTTTATTTTTCGTCTTTTTTTTTTGCATTTTCTTTTCCCGTTCCTTTTATTCTACCCGTCGTCGATTAGTGCCGGCTTTATTGAATTTCGCCGTCATTCCGCAGGTTACTATAGCCGCGATTAAACCTGACAAAATATGCCTGACACTTGTGTAACAAACATCGAGCGAATGAAAAAAAGAAGGTCGTGCGTCGAATTTTTTTCACAGGAGGATCGTGTGCGCGTTTTAAAGCACACGTTGCTTTCGAAATTTCGATCTGAACGAACTTCGTTCGAGATCGCCGAAAACTTCACGGTAATCAACTTACTTAAATGAAGCTCAATTAAGTTCGTTCAAGTTGATTCAGATATAAATTTCCCCGCTTCTCGGACAAATGATAGCAACATGTTCGTTTACGCAGTTAATAGTGTACCTGTGGGCTCCCACAGGTTGCGAGGATCCTGATTATACAGGGTGCTTCACGCAATTGGGTCGGGTTGTATCTCGAATTTGGCAAGAGATAGAAAAAAACTGTCGAGGGAAAAGTTGAACGGTACGGTAACGTCTATTTTTCTACGACTTCACTTTCTTCACAAGCGCAACAGTGCACCCGAAAAATGCCAATGTACTTTTCCTTAAGTAGAGTTGCATTTTTTTTTGTTTTACTTAATATTCGAAAATTTTCGAGTTCTCAAAAGTAGAATTTAACCCTTTGCACTCGAGTGACGACTGAGAAGCGATAGAGTATGATTTATTTCTGTGTTGGTTTTAAAGAATTTCATCCATTTTTTAGCAAACACTAAATATCAATTTTGAAGGTACATAATAGGCTACAGTGAAAAGATCTTCGAGTGCAGGGTTAGGGGTTAACTTGTCAACTTGGGATAATTTGTCGTTCCCAACAGTAGCCGTAAGGAAAAGGCAAATACAGATGGTTGATAAGTATCGATTTGAAATTTTATTAGAAGATTTTGCACGAGCTGGAATTTTCTTCTGAAAAATTGTTTGCATCGAAAAGTAAGAGAAACGAGAGAAAATTGTTCGAAAATTAACATCTGTTGATACCATCGAGCAGAGACGTTAAATCGTCGAATTTCTCGATATTCTTAATGTTCTCGCGAGACTCGTCACGTTTGTAACGTGACATGACTGGATAAAAAAAGAAAGAAGAGGAACCTCTTGAAAGCGACGCTTCAGCGCCGTGTTGTTTGCATTGAAAGCTGTAATCGAACCATCGATTATTAAATTTTCATTTTCAGCTGGAAAAATAGAGGCGACCGCAGGCGGTGAATGTATAATTAATTATTTGTGCGTTAACTGTACGGTAAAATCTGGAATTTCCAGCGTTCTCTTGATACTAATTTCGATGGATTTAATTTGCTTGAATTTTAAATATGGCGCGTTGCACCAAAGAAGATGTTACACTAAACGTTGCAATAAAATCGGCTTTGGAAATGATTTTATTACGGCGGATAAATTGTGAATATCAATTCACGAAAACGAATATTACGAATGAGATTTTTTTTCGAATATTTTCCCTTGATGATTTTCCACAGTTCAATTATTAATTATTGTGACGAATACATACATTTTTTCAATTTGCCTCTGGAGATATTTTTATTACCCTCCAATTTGTACCTTTCATTTTTGCAATTTTTCGCTTTTATAAAACACTTAACAACTGGTTGTAACGATGAGGTTAGGTTCGATTAGATTAATTATTGCAACAAATATATGCACAAATTTCCTTAATTTGCCTCTGGAAATATTTTTATTACCCTCTACTTGCATCTTTTTATTTCTGCAATTTTCTTCATAAAAGACACAAGTAGAGACACAAGTTTTCTTCACAGAGACAAAAGTAAATATTTAAATATTTAACAACGAGGTTACAAATAATTCGACGTGTTATTAGGAAGATTAGAATAATTCTGTTTACTCGCTAACGACACACTGCTTTATTATTTTTTTCTTTAACCAATGAGAAAGGGGATGTCCCGTTCCCGGTAACAGAATGGCACTTCACGAAAAAATCAGGCTAGCGGTAGTGGTCTTACCAGCACGATTTAAATTTGACGATGTTGTTGGGAAAATTGTCAGGAAAACCGCCAACAGAAGTGGTCAGTACAGAACACAAGCGAAAGTTCGTGAAGATACCTGAACAAAGAGAAGTGAATAAGCGTTGGAGAGGTGCAATGGGGGTTAGGAGACAAGAGAGGTCAGGAAACCATAGGAATTCGTACTTTGATACGTTAAAGGATGCAGTTCTGTTCGTAAAGACTAGTTTGATGAGAGAGTTTGAGTGATTTGTGACCGTGTACCTGGATAAAAGCTGCGAGTCGGGAATGAGCTGAGTATTTGTGCCTGCATGGAGCAGTTTGCGAGGACATCCTTTAGGACGTCCAATTATAATTTTCAGTAAGCGATTTAGCATGGTTTGGAGTTGTTTCAGGGTGTGCAGTGATATGCATTTACCTGTGCATGCTGTAGGTTCTATTCTGTAGATCAGAATGGGCCTAAGAGAGACTTTGTATGTACAGATTCAGACTATGGCTGCAGAATTTTTGTTTAGTTGCCCTTAGACCGCAGGTAGCCACCGAAAATATTTTTCAAGAATGAATTATCCACCTGGTTAATCCGCGTATTGGTTTTTCATACAAAAATTGCGGCAGTAAATACTAATTTTACGAGCTAGGACCGCAACAATTAGCCATTACCATGGAGGTTATTCAAATTTTATTGGTTCAGCGGTTAGGTTAGGTTAGGTTAATCTGCGTATACTGATTTTTCATACAAAAATCGTGGACGTAAATACTAGTTTTATGAGGTAGGTCCGCAACAATTAGCCATTACCGTGAGGTTCCTCAAATTTTATTGGTCCAGCAGTTAGGTTAGGTTACTCTGCGCATATACTGGTTTTTCATACAAAAATTTTTAGTTATATATAGTTTTAATTATATATAGTGCAACGATTAGTCGTTACCATGAGATTCTTCAAATTTCATTGGTCCAACAATTAGGTTAGGTTAGGTTAACCCTAGAGCGGTCTTCGGGTCTTTTTTGACCCACCGCCTTCTTATATTGTTAGTAATTTTTGCTGTTATCAAGTTTACGTTCCTTAACATTATTTTAAACGTTTATCGTCTAGGTTCATATGTCGCGTTGGAAAGAAAAATTATTACACATAAGGTCTTAGGTCCTTTTTCACCCAAAAGTCTTAAGTGTACAGTCAGAACGAAGGACGCAGTACAGTTAAGTTAATCTGCGTATGTACTGGTTTTTCGTACAAAATTTTTTAGTTATACACAGCTTTACGGGCGCAATAATTAGTCGTTACCGTGAGGTTTCTCAAATTTTATTGGTCCAACAATTAGGTTAGGTTAATCTGCGTATATGCTGGATTTCATACAACCATTTTTAGTTATACACAGTTTTACGAGCTAGGGGCGTAATAATTAGTCGTTACCACGAATGTTCCTCAAATTCTATTGTCTCGGCGAAGCTTCAGTTTTGGAAGTACGCTCGGATTGCTACCTGACTGACCGCGTACCACCTGTAACAGCGTTAACGGAAGAAGAAAAGCGCGATCCGGTGTAAATAATATTGCGAACATAATTCTCAGGATTTGCATTACCTTTTGTAAGTCGGACTTAAAATATGTTAATGAAATTTTGGATTAAGATAATTATTCATTGCCACGTGTTGCGGTAATCATTTCACCCTTCCAATGTTCACGGAAGAAAGTATGAAATGAAACAAACGAAACAACTCGTATAAATTGCACGTGACACGTGATAATGAAAAGTTATTGGAATAACGCCGGTAGAATAATTTTGCAAGGAATAACGAATAATTACCCTCTAGATAAATTATTATACCAGAAGCATGGCCGTTTAATTAACTATCTTAAATAGACGTGCGTAAAATTCCAGATCAAATTGATAGATTCCTTGTATAATACATAAGTACATACACACAGCGGACAGGTAGTTAAATACATAGATTAGTAGATTCATTAGTGTAGGGTAATATCCCTTGAGGACATGAAGGCTAGTGTTATACATGTTACTGCTTCATTGAAGCAGCATATGTTCAATAAATTAACTGAAATAGTTACAACATAATTAATACCGACTACAACCAGACCGTAACACCGGAGTTACCAATAATATTAAAATTCTCAACAACGATAATTGCAATAATAACGTGTAGATGAATAATATTTGAACAGAGTTGTCGTGCATAATAATTACGAAGGAAAATATCGTTCAATCTACGAACATTATGAAAATGTAGAATATTAAAATAAGTATAATCTTAAATGCAAATATTATTAAAATCACGCTAAGAAAATTTATATTCGCGTAAGTAGTTACATAGATTGCGGGAAATTTTGCAGAAAAATTAACGCCTCTTGTCGTCGTCTAAACTCATTTTGTAAATAACTCATTTTGTTAAGAATATTAAAGTAATAATATTCTTAACTGTGAATGTATTTAAAGTCACGCTGAGAAAATTTATATTCGCATAAATACTTGCATGATAGCGAATCTTGCGGGAAAATTAGTATCTTTTGTCATCACCTCATAATATTTTCTAATAAACGCTCGTTTTAATTTTCCAAAAAGATAAACAATATCTTTGGAGGTAATTAAATAGAGATAACCAACAAGGTAACATCCCGAAGTGATAATCACCGATTTCCGACGAAACTTTAATAGATCTGACAAAAATATTCGACACGTATTTTTTTATACCGGTAATTGCCCACAGCGAAGGGGTGAAAATCCCCCTCAAAATCGGAGGTATATAGTAAATATATTTAGTCTAATATCACGAAAACTGTAATATATAGAGGAATAGTGTAAATTTAGGAATTTCATATTTTTCAACAACAAATTTGAAAAATAATAAATAATTTTGACCAAATGTGTCTGTACCCTCATTTTTTAGGGCGATTTTTATCCCGTCAATGTGAACAATTGCTGATAAAAGAAATACGTGGTAAATATTTTTTCTTAGTACTAGTATATGCCAATATCAGTGATTTTCACTTCGGGATGTTCCCTTTTCTCATTTTTAAAGAGCTCTCAACTATACGAAATTCCGCAAACAAATTAAGAATAATGAAACATTTCTTAAGAAATTTTTATCCACAGAAAAATATGACTTTTCACTTCGCGATGCTACCTTACGTCCCGGTTTTCTGAATTTCTGATTTTTGAAGTGACTTGATTTTTAAAGGGGCTCTAAAGCAGGGGTCGGCAACGCGGTGCCCGCGAAGCAATTTTAAAGTGCCCGCCGTTCAAATATCTGAATTCTAAATTTTAGATATTTGAATAACAAACACTCGTAGTTGTCACGAATAATTTTAGTAAAAATTCTTATTTCATCTATAAAAGTAATAAATTTATGTTGCATTAATATTTTCATGTTTAAATATTACCCCTCCCTCCTCTTCACCCCACGGTGCCCGTCGAACTCCCGCATTTCTGAAGTATGCCCTCCTAGATAAAAAAGGTTGCCGACCCCTGCTCTAAAGTATACGGAATGAAAAATAATGAAACATTTCTTCAGAAAAATACGACTGTTTTTAAATGCAATTTTACTTTTCATTTCACACGATTCTTTAATTACTGCAACAAAAGTCCACTTTTTCAAAAAATGCTCCTTCTGTCCTTCAATTTCACCTGTCCCAGTTTCTTCCTGAAAAAATCTGCTAATCCTACTTATAAGATAACTACCATCAATCTCAAAATAGCAGAAAAAAGTACAAGAAATAAAGAAAACTCGTCTGCACGGTGGCAGAAAAATGTCCAACTAGCGGAAAAAGAATGTGCATAGCGGTATACGAAAGAGTTGAATTTGCCAATGATCAATTATGTCCAGATAAGGGGCACCAAAGGCGAGCACAGCGAAAGCGTCGGAGGCGTATACGACATCAGTAACAAACGCCGGCTGGGCCTATCTGAGCGAGAGGTGGTGTTCGAGATGAGAAACGGAGTGCTCGAGCTGATCAAACAAGAGAAGCAACTTCAGGGGGGAACAGTCGCGTAATATCGGCTCTCTCCCGTTGGGAGAAGTCGATGAACGCCGCCGCGGCTGTAAACTGTTTCGTCGATTTCGAGGAGATCTCGATTCGATTGTGCCATTCTCGATTCTTCTGTTTCTTATCAAATCGAAATATCCAAACCGTTATCGATTAATGGCGCTCCGCGCCCCGCCAATATGTTTCTGTTACGGGCTAGAGAAGTACACGGCCGTTTCGTAGCGCGGTTATCGACAAGTTCGAGCGGTGCTCGTCTATCTCGATGCTCGAAACGTCTGCAGCATTCTCTCCAAACCGAAACTGAACAACCGAAGAAATATCGATCCGTTATTAACTTCTGATACCGCTGTTCTGCGGTCCACGTTACTCGATACACACGGTTTATATTGAAAACAATTCTACGATCTCTGTGTGTTACTTTGCGTCCGACATTGTTCTGCGGAATAATTCCTATTTGTGTTCTTTTCAGGGATTCATGTTGTAGCGGGTTGGAACTAAAGTTCGCAGGGTTTTCTTTAGGTGAAATTTAAATAGAACGTTTAGATATTTAGACGTAGATTTATTCAACGAAATATGCAATTTTCTCGGAGTATTTTTCGACATTTTTGGCGAATTTGGCATCTTCTCGGGCGACGAATTGGTCCAGTTGGTTCGATAAACGCTGCGAATTTTTGTTCCAACCTGATAGTTATCGCCGGTGTTGAATATTTTTTAGGTTTCTTGCATTTCAATGCGAGAATTGTTGACGAAACGCGAGAATTTTTTTTTTTTGGAAAGAATGAGGTTAGGTTAACACTTTGAAAATGTCATTTGTATTCGAGTGACATTATTCACAAAGGTAGCTCAACGCGAGAATTACAAGTTCCACTGGAGCGTTGAAACGATGTTAAAAAGTCACGTTACAATATTTTATTATGGAAAAAAATATCGATACCGGTTGAATTGTTCGCACTGTAATCCTCTCCTTTGTGAATATTTTGTGCGTGAGCATTGAGTGGAAGAGTAACATTTTTTTTTTTTTTTTGCTTAACGAAAGTTACATTTTGTTAATTGACAAATACGCCACGTGATTTGTGCAAATGTAGTAGAACCAAAAAAAGATTCTACACGATGAAATGTAAAATAAAATATATAGAATCTGTGTTATCATATGTGTGTAGATGTTTTATAACTATCAAGGGAAGCTTTGTAATTGGAAAATTTCGACAAATATTTTGTTTCGGAAATGGAAAAAATTGCCGCGAATATTTACGAAACTGTACAAGATATGGGAAAAGATTAAATTCAAAGTTGCCTGATTTTTGATATCCTACACTATGATGATAAAGAACTTTTGAAAACCATTTTTTCATGAAAACATTTTTCGAAAATTCTTTACCACCACAATTTGTTCTAAAATTTGAATTGAACTTTTCTTCCATATCTTGCACGGTTTCGTAAATATTCACGATAATACGAAAACTCAGAATTATTTTAAGGGAGTTTTCTGCAAAGTTTCAAAGTTTTTTGAATTTTCAGGTTACCAAACATCCCCCGTGAGTTTGATTAAGTCTAATTGGGCTTACGTTCAAAATTAGTCGAGTGTCCAAACTTTGGCAAAAGATAAAAAAAATTTGTTTAAATATTAATTCCTGTCGATTTCAAATTAGCAGAGAAATTGTTGGCAAAGGTAATCGGACAAATGTTTCGAAAGTTACGGTTGTGTGTATAGCGGCGATACGAGCTGTGCAGCATTCAGCGTGTCGCAATAAGCTACGTGGAGGACATTTCAAGCACTTGGAATCAAAAGGACTGGATGTTTTCTCCACATCTGCTAGAAAATACGTACGATCGCATATACAGCCGATGCTGTAGCCCCATGGGACCTTATATCGACAACATTGGCTTTATGACATTCGATATTCACTTCTCTGACTTATCACATCCGATATTACATCCTCGGACCCGAAGGACACAACACCGACTATCCAGGCTGCGTAGGACTTCGTATTGATAACATTGAAGATGCGGAACCCGATATAAACCGTGTTGGTTACGATGCAGGCGAACGACAAATTGTAGGACAATGTCTATGGCCAATTTCGAACTTTAGATAGGGGCTAGAGACGATTTTCACGATTTTCAGTGCAATAGATAATCTTGGATTTGTAAAATTGTGGAGGAAATTGTATGATTGATCCTTTCGCTGCTGTTGTCTATAGGCGTTTTGGATATTTTTTGGAACCGTGTCCTTGGCGCCTATAGGCGCTGTGAATATTTTCTTTTGGCACACTTTTATGTTAATTTAATCCTTAATTTTTGCCCTTTGCACATTTCCACTTAAATTCAATAAAAGGAATTTTTAATTTTAATTTAAAAGAAACTGTGCACGCACTGTGTCCTTGGAGCCTATAGCCGCTGTGAATATTTTCTCGCGCCGTGGCCTTGGCGCCTTTTGGCACACATTCACCTTAATTTTCGTCCTTTGCGCACTTCCACTTAAATTCAATAAAAGAAATTTTTAATTTTAATTTTGAAGAAAATGTGCACGCACTGTGTCCTTGGAGCCTATAGCCGCTGTGAATATTTTCTCGCGCCGTGGCCTTGGCGCCTTTTGGCACACATTCACCTTAATTTTCGTCCTTTGCGCACTTCCACTTAAATTCAATAAAAGGAATTTTTAATTTTAATTTAAAAGAAACTGTGCACGCACTGTGACCTTGGAGCCTATAGCCGCTGTGAATATTTTCTCGCGCCGTGGCCCTGGCGCCTTTTGGCACACATTCGCCTTAATCTTCGTCCTTCGCAAACTTTCACCTTAATCGAATAAAAGAAATTTAAAATAAAAAATTCTTCAAACGTTGAACAAATTTCGAAACGCTGAAACAAAAAATTTCGCGGCCGCAATTGAATATGTACCGTTTGCCCAAGAGCACTCTTTTTTCGCCCCGGAGCATGAATCGGCTGTTTTATGTGCAGCGACCTAAAATATATCTATTTTTACATTCATTTACGTTGCAGAATTCATATTGTAATTCGTCTGACGATGCATACAATATTCGTGACAAGTAGAATGTACCGGTACAATACAGAGACGAGTGAATGCCGCAGTAGGAGTATTGTGTAGTGAAAGCAATATCGTAACCATTCGTTTCTACTCCTGTTAACCTAAGAGTCACCATTAATGGATTACACGATATCAGGAATATTTGCCTGGAGAACTTCACAAGCGTCTTCTTATCAGAAATGTCTCCCATGGTTCCGTTTGTACTCTGTTCTACGAAACGAAGAGACGGTTGCGCATCGAACCTAGGATGCATCAGGTATTGTGCTCTTAAGTGTTCTATTGCTGCACAGATGTGCGAGTATAAGAATAGATTCTACATATGTACGTGGTTATGATTGTTGTTCTGTTAAGTACTTGAATGCAGAATAGAAAACGACACAACGATATTGCCAACTGGGTTTCACAGAACGATGTTCATAAATATTAGAACACCCGTTACGTTCGTGTGAATTTAAGGACATGATTTGAGTTGCATTCCGTGTCTTATGTTAATACCACGAATTTGCGATTTGATTAATTATAGAAATTCACAGTTAAATGTAAAATATAATCAAATCTTTCTAGAGATCAAAATTTTCGGAATTTTCTTATTCGAAGAAAGAAGCAGATCTCAATACGCTTCGCATTCAGTGTGTCTCCTAACACTTATGAACAGGAGTGTACAATTCGAAAAATACTGCCATAAGTAATATAATTTTGTATAATAATTTCATTTGAATAAAATTCTGTTTCTTATGAGATATTCATTATTGACTCTCTTAAGCCTGCGCTTCGTGGCATGTAATTGAAAAGGCTACTTTTCAGTTTAAGAATAAGTTTTTAGCTTAATGTTAGAATACATTTAGAGGATTAAGTATGTCCTGGCGAGAGAAATCGGAAATCCTACCTTCGAGTCTTCAGAAACTCGCTTTTCCCGTCCTCAATAGCCCGAAGACGTGTTACAAAGTGGGAATTTCCGAAGGATCATTCAGAAATTAGATATAACGGTCACGAGACTGAAGGGTCAGAACCTTGGGGAAATTCGCCGCTGTTGTCGAAACATCCGTTACCTTCAACTTATTGTTAGACATCGCCATCCTCTTCCCAAGGGAACATACGTTAAGGGCGCAAAAGAAGGGTGATCGTGATGTCCCTTATGCACGCTAATTAGCAATTACGTATTTTTAAGAAATGGTCCCAATCAGCGTGCATGAGAAGAAATTGGAAGGAAGTCGACCGTCAGTGGCAAAAGCAGACATCAATTGGAAACAATCAGTTACAGTAGACTCCCTCGATACTTTCTGTAGTGTTTGTTAATGTTATCGCGATATTGTTTGGTGTCCTTTCTTTTGAGTCAAACCACTAGAGGAATTTACCCGGGATACGGGAATAAGGCACGAAAAGAATTTACTAATATTAATAATATTAATATATATTTGACAAGGTATGACTGCGAGAATGTATGGTGTCAAAACTGTTGGAAAGTTGTCGTGTATCTAACCGTGTCGCTGGAAAAACTCTTTTACTAATTATTACTATTTCTCTACTGTAGGTGGAGGAAAATTTTGAAGGACCCTCTATTTTCCCTCGTCGGTTTCCTATTTGGATATGGAGGCCTCGATACACTATTGTGTAGGTGTAAGGGTGTATGCGTGTTTTCCTCTTTTGTTATGATTGTGGTTTGTGAGGTGATGACGTGTGGCGTTTTGGGTTTGTTTACTTGTAAAATCGTCTTAGAATGTTTACAATTTCTCGCCCATGCGGTGACCGGCTGTCCAGAAATCCTAACTAAAATGCGTTCGAGTACGAAACTTTCGCCGGTTTCCTTTATTGCACTAAAGGTCTGTTACGCATGTGACAGTAGAAATAGATTGTGATTGTTCTATAGCTTCGACATAAAACAATCGACAGACATTGCAAATCAAACTCATCGTCAACTCATTATTGATTCCTTTTTATAAATAAATCTTCAATAAACATTAC